AGTCTTAAACCAGTGAGTCAGTGAACGGTAGTCTGAAGGTAGCTTAATCGAAGGAAAAAACTGATGGGTTACGAGATTTCTGCCTTCGTCTTCAATAGCACCACTCCCACTCTCATCTCCTGCCCTGAAAATCACTCCCCACGCTGTCTTGTAATTCCTTCCTCCTCCTCTGCTTCTACGTTCTTACCTTCCAAGCTCTACCCTTGCTCCAAACACGAAGCTAGGAGATTAGCACGGCAGAATTTCGAACCCCAGACTCCCCTATATGGCGACCGACTCTGTGAGTATTCCTTGTTACTTTTAATGCTGTTTTGGTTTCCCTCGCGAGTTTTTACTTCTTTTTTTTTGGTTTCTTATCATGCTGTATTTTCCTTGTGCTCAAGATAGTATTGCGAAATGGAGTCCTCTATGTTTTTGTATTTTAATCGTATGCGTGTCACTGTTTACTAGATTTGGGTACTAATCTTAAGGGGGGTGCCAGCGAAGACCTATTCAAGAAGAATCTATTTTAATTGAAACCGGAAAAATGTTCGTGTTTTGTTTTGATTAAAAAGGAAAATTATCGTGTTACTTCTGTTTTTGTTGTTTCTTTGTGCCAGCAAACTGTGAGAAGAGCGTATGGCTGTATTCCCCCCCCCCCCCTCTTCTTCCTTGATGGTGTACTTGATGACCTTCTATTTTTTCCCCCTTTGAATGTATTTTTCATGGGTCACTAAAATGGGGGAAATGTGTTTAGGTCCACTAGCTAGCAATGTATCCTCTGCTCAAGTGGAAGAGCAAAAGGAGGTTGAAATTGTGGAGGGTTACAGTATGACCGAAATTTGTGACAGAATGATAGATGTGTTCATGAATGAGAAGACTAAATCAAAGGAATGGAGGAAGTATTTGGTATTTAGAGAAGAGTGGAATAAATATAAGGATAGCTTCTACAGAAGGTGCCAGAAAAGGGCAGACATGGAGATTGACCAAGTTAAGAAGCAAAAATTTATTTCATTGTGGAAAAAGATGAAGAAGGTAAAGCAATGCTATCAGTTTTTCTATGTTACGCCCCTTGCAATTTTGGATGCTAGGAAATTTAGTATTTTGGTCGTGACGGAAAATTAGGAAAAGCTAAGAATTATCTTCGTTCAAATTTAGTTTGAAAATGACATCTCAAAAGTTTTATTTGAACTGAATAAATGGGAGGAGATAATTTGTCTAGTGATTACCTCCTGAACTGAAAATGGCATCTTTTTTTCTTCTTTAGGTTTGACTTAACCTCTTTTCTAGTTGTAAGCTTTTTTAGAAGCCAGGAACCAAATAACTATCTCACATCTAGAGTCTAGACACTTGCTTGGTTTTAGAGCTTCCTCTTCGGTTCTACTTGATCAGGTTTAAGCATTGCAGATTGATGATGAAATGGAAGAACACAATGATCTACTCAAGGAGGTGCAAGATAGCCCTACTGATATAAATGCCATTGTTGCAAGGAGGCGTAAAGATTTTACAGGGGAATTCTTCCGTTACCTATCTCTCCTTTCAGACACATATGACACCTTGGAAGACCGAGATGGTAAGCATGTGAATGAAAGAATTAATTCAAATGTGGATTAATATTATGAATAAATAGTGATTGTAAATTAAATCTAGTAAACACTAGAAGGAAAGAGATGTCGCGTGATGGTTAAGGATACTTGTAATCAAAGTGCACAGCTCATAGTCTAAGAGGGGTGGGACATTCGAACTATATGTTTTGTAGAAACCGTGTAAAAATGAACTTTCTCCATTATGATGCATCCAAAAGAAAACCTAAGAATTATTTCTTAAGCTGCCTTCCTCAATTGATTGGCCCATTTGTTGTGCAGCAATTGCCAGGCTTGGGACTAGATGCTTGGCAGCTGTCAGTGCATATGACAACACTTTAGAGATTGTGGAGACGTTGGATCCTGCACAGGCCAAATTTGATGATATTCTCAACTCACCGTCAATTGATGCGGCATGTGAGAAGATCAAAAGCCTTGCAAAGGCAAAGGAACTTGATTCATCATTAATCCTCTTGATAAATAGTGCTTGGGCTAAAGCAAAAGAGTCTTCAACACTGAAAAATGAGGTACAATTTTAGAACACGATTTTCTGTGGATTTCTCCGGACTTGTGTTCCTGTTGCCATTTTCACTGAATTGATAGTGTTTATGTTAGGGTAGGATGGGAAGTTTTCAAGTCCTTTTCAATATAATAAAGTATAATCAGTATAAAAAGCTGAAACAAAGTAAAACTTTATGCTGCCAGGCTATTAAAATCTGGAGAAAATAATGCAGAACCAAATCATTTATCTTTTCAGCATAGAGCGCATGGAAGCTTAATTTTGCTTACTCAAGCCGAGAAGAAATATGTTTACACTAATTTTGCTTACTCAAGCCGAGAAGAAATATGTTTACACTCCTTCTGTGTGCTCAAACGACATTTTTCTATTCTCTGCAGGTGAAAGATATAATGTATCAATTGTACAAGACCACAAAGAGCAGTCTAAGGAGCATGGCTCCTAAAGAAATAAAGCTGCTTAAGCATCTGTTGAATATTGTAGACCCTGAGGAGAGATTCTCTGCATTAGCAACAGCTTTCTCCCCTGGTGATAAACATGAAACCATAGACCCTAATGCATTATACACGTAAGGGAACATCCTTTTGCTTCATTTTAAATTAGTGATTTTTATCATCACTCTCATTGGCTTCTCCTATTCTTGATTAAGCAGGACCCCGAAGGAGCTGCATAAGTGGGTTAAGATCATGCTTGACGCGTATCATTTGAATAAAGAAGAAACAGAGTTGAGGGAAGCCAAGCAGATAACTCAACCTGTGGTTATTCAGAGGCTCTTCATCCTCAAGGAAACTATTGAAGAAGAATATCTGGAAAAACGTACACTTCAAAAGTCTGATACAGAAAAAGACTCTAAATCAGAAGAAGAAGAAGAAGAGTTTTAAGGTACTTCACTTAAAAATGCAAATTACCCTGCCCACTCGCTTCATTGTTTCATGCCTTGAAAGTAAAAAGGGCAACAGGGAAAGCGGGGTCAAAGAAGGAAATGATCAAGTAAATGTGCGAAAGACGTTTTAAGTGGCTACTACTAGCAGCTGGGGCCACAACTTATCCGCATTGAAAGATATATGGGGGTGTAATCTACTTTTTTTACAATGACATTTAGGGGAATTAAATTTCAAGGGGTCATTAGTGTTAGGACAAGCCATGGTGTAATTTTTACTTTTGTCTCGTATTTAGAAGGATTTGTATCATGTTTCCTTCTTTTGCATGGCGAACATGTGGGGTTGTACTCATTTAAAAAGCTGTAATGTAAATAGTAAGCCTCCCACCAAAGCAAGGCTTTGGTTAAGCACTCTTGCCGTTTACCCAAATTTTCTCTGTTTATCACAGGAACCAAGCCCTCCACTTCTCGTGGTCTAATTCGTGAAGAAATTTTCAGTTAGTTCAGCGAGTCATCCCACAGGAAGATATCATCATTCATTATTGCACGAAACAGGTTCTTCATATTAGCCTGACAATGGGGGAACCAAAAGGGATATGCTTAGCTAGCTAGTTGGTCGGTTTCTCCTCGCTTTAAATCCAATTTAATACTTTGAGTGAGACCTTTGTAGTACCAGTTCGAGATATGGTTCGCCATAAATATGCCACAGCAGGTAGGACAGCCTATTCTGGAGGGTATAAGGTGTTCGAAATCATATTTTATGTACTCCAAAATTCCAATTCATTCTGAAACGGACTTTCGCATCTGCTCCCACCTCTCACGTTGGCCAAGGTGGGATAACAACTTATTCGAAGTATCTCTCTTGACAAACTTAAGTTCAAATCATTAAATTTCAAGAACCTAACTATTACCACCCTCATTTTCTTTTTATAAGAAAAATTTTCGAAAGGTCACTTATTCTTTTTTATAAGAAACGCCAACCACCTCTCTGTTATATATTTATTAGCATTCATTTTTATCCCCATTAACTATTATACCAATATACTCCTCCGGTCCTTAATATAGGACCCAATTGTTGAGTTAGTTTTGGTCTTAAATGTAAGACCCATTTCTCATATTTATCAATTTCTTCTAAATTACCCCTATAGAGACTCCCTCAACCATAATCAAGTAGTAGAAGAAGATGGGGTATTAAGAAAGATGATTATGATATTTTAGGAAGAACATGTGATATTTCTTATAATTAACTAACTTACCTAACATCATTAATCTAATCAAATTAGTTAAATGGGTCTTATATTAAGGACCGGAGGAGTAACTTTTTTGGTCAACCATTGTACTCATATTAATTTCAAGAACCTAACTATTAACGAACATGAACCATTATTTACATGAGAGGGATGAAGATCCATTTTCAGAAAAATAATTTGCATTTCTCCACACTTTCAGTATATTACTTGATTTGATTATTTGGATTATGGTTATTTATAATATCTTAGCCCATACAATGTCTAAAAAGATATTGAGATGGAAACAAAATCATAATTTTAAAAATATTTTTACGATATACCAAATAAATACATAAAAAAAATTTGTCTTAATTTGAAAAAAAAATATTGTTTAAAAACACTTGAATACCCCCAGATTGAATATGAAATGCGAAGGAATAAAGCTAGCTCGCAGTTCTACAAAAGTTGGTCGCAAAGCCATCACACAATATGGAAGAATTTAAGATCTGCTGGCATCCACTTGCCCCGGAAAAGGACCGTGGAAATTGACAATCTGACGTATACCGGGGGAAGTTATCTCATTCATTCACCATTAAATTCCAAGAATAAAATTGTTAATTATTAAAACTTACAGTCCATAAAATTGACTCAACCACGGAAAAAAAAAAAAACAAATCTAGCCGTATATTTCAAGACAGCCTCTTGGAAAAAATTAAAAATCAAATGCGAAATGTGAAAATAGACAGTTAATTCGCACTTGTCTTCTACAAAGTTCCTGCAACCAAACCCGTCACCATATTAAGATAATCCAATTTCTAAGAAAACACACAGGAAATTCACAATCTAACCGAAGCGCATACTAAACAGAGCGGTGCTTAATATGATAGCAGTTATTAAAAGTTTAAACTACACATAAGCTATAAAATCCAGAAGCAATACAATAATGACACTGACACTACACATATGTGTATATATATATAGTTAAGAGGATTATGTGAGATGAATAATCCCTTAATTATTGATTACATGAAAATAGGGAGTATGATCAGCTGATGAAGATGACGGAGGGATCGCAGCAGCACTCGTCGATGAGGCAGCAGCAACACAAGGCAGCAAGGCTGCCACAAAAAGAACAAGAAAACACAGATCACTATCCAAAACAAGAATTTTCTGTAAATTGATCCCATAATAATGTTCTTTTATAAGATGGTAAACATAAATAATAAAGCGGGAGGTTTTACCATCCTTCAAGGAAACCAGCCTGTCTTTTGGGTGGCGGCGCAGCGGCATACTGTGGTGGTGCCATCACCGGAGGACCCTGATAGTAACCTAGCACCAATTTTTTCCCCACCAACAAAGTTATTGCAGAAACCAAAAAGACCAAGCTAGAAACGAAAACTGTGATGGCGTTTTTAAAAGAAAGAAGAAACTGCATCAAGATATGAGATTATGAGGGAGGAAGAAGAGAAGTAGGTACCTTGATTAGGAGGAGGATAGGGATAACCGTACTTGGGGTCACTCATTTCTCAGTGAATCGGGGGAAAGGCACAAACTTTCTCTGTAGCGTTTTGTTGGGTTTAGAAGGCACCAGGACGATACAAAGTTTGGGATTTTATTGTGGGTTTTTGGCAAAGGTAAGCTTTCAATTCGCATGTTCCCCAGTTTCGACCTATATGTGTCATATTGCGTGTCAAGTTTTTCTTGTCCTCTCCCATTACTATTATTATTCTCCGTTCCCTCAGTTTCAATTGATAAATCCGGGTGATTCAAATTGAATTTTCTTTTTTTTATTTTATTTTGATTTTAAAAAATATTGTGATATATACTAAATTTAAAATAAGGATGATATCTTAACTTTTAATTTTTCAAAAAATATTTTTAGTTTAAAATAATTAGTTAACTATTGAAATTATACTCCTTCGATCCTACATATAAAACCTATTTTGTGGTACAAATTATTTAAACATCTTGCCTTGTTGTAGTTATGATTGGCATTGAAGCTAGTTCCTTCCCCAATGATAAGCATAAAATTTAATCATAAACTTGGTTTTAATTACAAAAATAAGATTTTAATTCATTTTATCTATTATTTTTATAATTTTTTTAAACTAATTTATATAATTTATAAATCAATATAGTATAATCTAATGTCTCGTTAAAACTAAGTAATTTATTTAAAATTTTTCATAAATCTAAATTAGTTAGGTATAACTCTAACATTAACATGGGATGAATAGAATTTAGAAGCAGGATTGCAGTTATTAAAAAGAAAATAAGTAAAGATAAGTAATGTTAATATTACCAGATTACAATCAAGATTCAACCATATCCGATGGAGAACCATAGCTCCAGGAATTTGATTGGAGGACTCCCACTTTCGTTCTGGGTCCACCCCACTGCGCCCCTTGACGGCGCCGTTAACGTTGAAATACGTGGAAAACAAAACGACGATTGCAACGAGACGTGTGGCAGATCAAGGTATGACGTGGAGGATTGCGTGACGGACAGGTGTCCAATTTTTAAAATTTGAAAAATTAAAATTAAAATAAAGACAAATTTATGTTATATCCACCCGAATGGAAAGAGTGAGCCGTCATTATGAATGTGGGCCCCGTGACAGCTCAGCTTGACCCTGATGTTGTATACTTGTATTGCGTAAATCGGGCGCCGCTTTATTACGGTGCTCCGTCCTAGTTTTTTAATAAAACGTTAATAACTAAATTACGATTTAAAATAATAAATATGTAAAAAATATTTTTTAAAAATATGCTTTTATTTATAAAGGGTAGGTATGAAAGAGAATTGAGGAAATTAAAGACAAAAGTGATAAAAACACATTAAATGTTTAGACAAATATAAGTGGGGTCTTACAAAAAAAGATTAAGGGTGTGTTTGGCAAGCACCCCAAACCATGGTTTGGGAAAAATGTTAGCCAAACACCCTTAAAAAAATCAAAACTATGGTTTGGGTTCAAAACTATGGTTTTGACTCCAAAACCATGGTTTTGGGAAAAGCAGAAATTTTTTACTTTGGAGAAAAAAGGTAGAATGTGAGAGCCTATAAGATATGTATCTTGTTGTTTTTTTTATAAACATATTAATCTTATATCTTATAAATATATATATACATATTAATTATTAATTATATTATCTTATATATTATTAATATATGTTAATAAAAAATATATTATTAACAATTTTATTCCTTCAAATTAAAATATATCATAAAATATATTTTTTCTATAATTATCATATTAATTTATGCCAATTTGTATATATAAAAAGTACTTCTAATAACAACTATCCAAACACTTACACTTCTCAAAATCACTTTTTCACAAAATCTATTCTTCCCAAAATCTATTTTTTCCAGAAGCTATTTTCCAGAAGCTATTCTTCAAACCATGGTTTGGTTTCATCCAAACACACCCTAAAAGGGTGTTTGAGAATTAGGAGAAGTGCTTTTTAAATGCACTTTTTTTTCAAATTGAGATAATCTCATCCATATATTTATTTCGCATATCGTAAAATAACTTCTGAAATCATAATTTAGTTTCCATCCAAACACCCCATAAGAAAACTTAAATTTCAGGTTCTTATAAAAAAGACCAGAAGGAGTATTACCTATGCTTTGTTCTTTTTCCACCTTTATTAATTACTATTACCTATTCAGTATTACAACTAATTCTTAATATAGGAGTTAGATAACTAATTTATTAATATTATAGAGGTTAGTTAAGTTAGTTATTTATAATAGGTGAGTTTTTTCTTTACTAAAATGCCTCATTAATCATATGCATTATAATAAAAATTCTTTAACGCATGTAATCTTCATGAAGAGTATTTTGGATAACAAATGAATAAATGTAAAAAACAGTAAATTGAGATTTTATATTTATAATTAAATTGAATTTTAAACTATTTTTTATATTTAGGATTGGAGTTGGTACTTCATAAAAATAATTTTTATACCACCTCAAATAAAGTTTGAATAGCCTTTTATGGGGAAAAAAACCATTTTAACATAAATTTGTTTAAATAATATATTACAAATTATTTTTAAAATATTTAAATTAAAAAAGCCTAAGGCCAAATACTAGAAATCGGGGGGGGGGGGGGAATTTGATTCAACTTTAAAATAATTTATAAACATTTTTTTTTTCATGTGATTTGGACTTGAGGTGATTTTCATGGTTAAAAGTGTCAATTTAGAATAGTTCCAATGCCATCGCAAACAAGCTTTAATAGAAGGAAAAAATAATGCAATACGAAGAAAGTGGAATAATAATAATGCAATGGGAAGATGTGAATGAAATAATAGTTTTGATTCTTTGTCGCCCTTCCAAATGCTTGTCTGCTTGACTTTAATGGCTGATGGGGCTGTGTTTGTTTCTCAAGGGGAAAAAAAAAAAAAACCTCAAGAATTTGACCAAGAATGAAGAAACCTAACCCCCTGGCCATAGCTGGAAACCGCAAGAAATGGAATAGAAGGGGGGAGGCTTTATTTGGTTCGGTTTCCTATTTGTGTAGCCTTTGTTTGACATTCATACCTTAGCTTTTCTTGTATTTTATTTCATCTTTACGTCTTCCTTATTCTTATTCTATAAGAAATTGTTGAGGCCTTTTCCTTTTCCTTTTCCTTTTCCTAATACATTTGTATTTTTGAATACTCAAATCACATAGAATGGGGTAAGTGAGTGACGATATGAAGACGACCAACAATAGAGATCTGAAAATTATAGGAAGCCTCATGAAAGGGACGGCAGGAAAACATGGTGTTCCCAAAAAAAAAAAAGTAATGAAGTTGGGTTCTTTTGTGTTGGTTTGCTTTCTTCACAACACCAGAAATATCATATCATCTAACACTGTCTCAAATACAATTATCTCTAATATAAGAATACATCCACCTGGCAAAAAAAAAAACTATTTATAATGCATTATTAACCATTTTATAAAAATCAAGAAAAGGTAGTTAAATCATTAAGAATTAGATAAACATGTTATACTCTTTCATTACAGTCGATAACCATGCAGATTGAATCCTAATGCCTTCTGGATGACAAAGCTTCTGCCCTATATTACTCTGAATATCTCAAATAGAAACTTCCAGGGAGGTTGGAATTTTCATCCAACCTTGCCAGTCCTCAGAATTTCGCTTCTGTTAGGCATTTCAATTTCTTTATTACTAAGCCTAATTTTACAAATCCGGATAGTTAGTTCAATTACGAAATTGATGAATTCCTTAGACTTTAAACCATTTGTCCTTTAAAATTTATTAAAGTAAATCAGTTTAAAAATCAAACAAGGATCTGATTTTTTTTTCCCTTTTCAATTTACACAAAAAAAACATTATATTGTAAGATTAAAACAACATATTTCATAAATTTTTTGACCAGGGAACATATTTCATAAATTTAATATATAAAACAATGTCCTCATTGACTGTTAGAATGCTCATACAAATTATGAAGACCACAAGCCATGGGCCCACCCATGTGCTTTGAGGGCATTCTAGAATGTGGTTCAATGAGATGAGACACTGTTGCATGATATAAGCGAAATAATGAAAGAATTGATCCAATTATTTAAGAAACTATCAACATAATGGATGGCGTAAGCGTAACAATTATTAACTCCACTATCAATTTGGATTAGTTTCTTTAATAACAAATTACTGCTTTCTGTCCTTAATATAAGAGTTAGTTAACTAATTTGAGTAGATTAAGAAAATTTGTTAAGTTAGTTATTTTTAATAAATATATGTCATCTTTTCTGAAATATTATTGCTAACCATATGCATTGCTTACAACTATCATTTGAACATTTAACATGTCCAACTATTATAGGAACTATTTTAAAAAAATGAACAAATATAATAGACAAAATGGATTAAGATTTTATATTTATGACCAAATTAAAATTAAACTAACTCTTATATTAAGGACGGGGTAGTATTATCCGTGTCAATTTTTTTTTTTGCCTCGAAATCAAAACCGTCTCTATGTGTTTGTATGTGTGCGGGATTAAAAAAAAAAAAAGTTAATAATCTCGTTGCTCATTAAAAGTCCAACCACTCCATTACAATTTCCCTTCTCGCTTGTTTTTCTAATGGAAAAGGGATTGTAGACATTACAATCGGCAATTAGACTAATTCAAATCAATCAGAGAAGAATAGAACAATAAAAAAAAACCAGCAAAGTTCTACTGCATTTTTTTATAACTCTTAACTCAAAACCTCTTGTTAAGTTGATATATCTCCCTATCAGTTCAATTTTCTATTATAAGCATTGATACTATTCTATTAGAGCCAATCAGGTTCGACTTATTGTTGAACATTGAATGTGAGTAACTCTTAGCAGGAATTTAAGTATTAGTTTATAACATTATGAATAATTAACCCCTTCTGCTAGATCAATTCCTTCCCTATCAGTTGAATTAAGTGCTTGATACTAACAATGGGCGACAATTTTTCTTCTTCTTCTTGTTTTGTTTTGTTTTTCTTTTTATTGGTTATTTGAGCTCTAAGAGAAAAATTAGTGAAGGATATGGGATTAAACTTTTTCTTCGGTATAGTTATGGGCTTCAGGTTTATTTCAACAGAATATACCTGATTTGAGGCCCGTTTAACTTGGTTCACTTGGCC